TTGACCCTTCGCAGCAAGTGCATGAGGTCCTCCTCAGTTTCAGCAAGCAAGGTTGTGTCATCTGCATAACGGAGATTGTTGAAAAATCAGTGAATATATTAATTGAAAATAAGGGTTTTTTTTTTGCAACTAGTGGCTGGTTTAGTTACTTTAAAAATCACTGCAGTTCCTGGTCCTGTGTTGGGCTGTGTGTGGAATATGGATGGAAATGAGAAGGCTTTGGAGACACTCTTTCCTCTTTGTTTAAAAAAATAAATGATGGTGAAGGTTCTCTCTGGGTCATTGTTTTTACTCTGATGGAACTCCCTGTCAGGACCTGCACCGCTGGGAGGAGGAGAAGCGTGAGCCCCAGATTTGAGGCAGCCGTGGACCAGCACACATCGAGTGGAGACTCCTTCCTGTGTTGTTAACGGTCTGGGTACAACACTCCATAGGTTTTGAGTGGTCTGTCACAGCCCCTGCTCCCAGGAGCCCTGTTATTTTTGGAGTGCAATTTTCCAGAACACAAGTTTTTACAGCGTATTTGCTGGCTATATTTGCTGAGTGCGAACTTGAGTCCTCCATTGGCTGCCAAGAATGACCAAACAGTTGTTCCTGGCACGTCCTTTGGGAGAAGATAACCAGAGATCAGAATAAGAGAAGTGGGGCCTCTGAATCTTGGGGGTGGGGGCTTCACAGATGGGAGGATGGGGAGGGTATCAGATATGTGGGGATCAGGAATTGTGATTTGTGGTGTATTTGCACACCCCAAGAAACAGCACTGTGTAGCTTCTTAACTAGACCGCGCAGCTCTAGAAGGGCCCTTTACAGACTTAACTCCCTGGGTTCCCTGTTCTACCCACCCTGTCTCCTGAGCGAAATGTGGTTTCTGACCACCGCTGGTCTTCCCTTTGTTATCAGTACGGAGAAAATACCACAAATACCAAGTTCTGGTACCTTGCTCCCGTGTGGACGCTTCCACGCCTTACGTGTGCCTCTGCACTTGGCTCTCTCTCTGGGACAGCCAGTCATTTGCTAGCCGGGCTCCTCTACGTAACTGACCGTGTGCGTCCTAGCGCAGAGCCTACCTCACGCACATACTCACTGTGTTGTTTCTAGGTGCTGTTGAGTCAGCTGCGGCCCAGAGCAATCCTCCGCACAGCAGGTAGGACGCGTGCCCTGTCCCGCGCCTTCCTCATGACCTCAGATGTGTTCATTGTTAACAGTGGCTTTGTTGTAGGTCCGTCTTGTTGGAGACCTTCCCCTCTTTCTCTGACCCCTGCCTTTCCAAGTATGATGTCCTTTTCCAGGGCCTGGCCCCTCCTGACAACATGCCCAGCATATGTGAGATGCAGTTTCACCATCCTTGTCTACGGAGCATGGCAGACCTAGTCAGTGGGTGTCTGTTAAGTCAGCTTTTCTCGTGAGGGCTGAACTCGGAGTCAGAAAACCTGCTTTTAAATTTGCTTTATGATCCTTCGGGGAGCTACTGCTGCCGTCACTACTAAGACGAGTGAAAAGCAATTCGAGGGCTGGGAATTATGGTGAGGGTCTTGCCGACAACCGACATGACCCGCATCGTTACCCATGCTTTGTAGGCAGACACAGGCTTGAAGAAGCTGGTTCCCTAAGTGGCTTAGCATTACTGCGCTAGTTAATGGCAGGATTAGAATCTGAACTCAGATCTTCTTCACATAAAGCCAATTTCATCTGTAAAATTTCATCTGTAAAATGAAGATACCATGTCTCAGGTACTGTGACAATTTATGCGAAAGTCCTTTGCATCGTGCATGGCTTGCTAAAAGACATGGCAGTGACCGTGTTCCCTCCTAAGGGATTTAAATTCCTAAATCTTGTTGCTCAGTTCAGCCATATCATCTCTGGCTTTACGACTCTTGTTCTCATTTCCAGATTATACGCCAAGACAACCCAGTGTTTCTTGACTTGTTTGGGAAGGGACCCGGGTAATTTGGATGTTAATGGATTCTATCTGCTGATCTCAGATGAGTGGGTGGCAGGTCACCCCTGTGACCACATCCGACTGGCTGGGTTGTTCGCCCTGCTGCACTGTGGGCCGGAGGTGCAGAGCCGCTGTTGGCCACTGGATTATGGGGCCCTGCAAACAGAATGGACGTGCTGACCCCATTCTATTACCCCAGCAGGGGAAAAGAGGAGTGCAGCTGAGAGGTCAGCAAAGCAATTATTAAGAGCTCACAGATCACTAAGCTGCAAACACACAGCCAGATAAAAAAGCCCGTTAGACTGAAATTTCAGGGCAGCCCCAGTTCCCGCCCCGCTCTGCTTTCTTGCCTACAAACCTGTGGAGTCTGGATTATAGCCAGTCATGTCAGGCTACTCCTTCCCTCTCACATGCCTTGGAACTGAAGTGCTTATGACCTCAGGATGCGAGGGAGGAAACTGCTCATCTCCCTGCCTCCAGGAGAAGCGTCCAGGGCAGGAGCTGCTGCTTAGACAACCATAGATGTCGTTCTCTCACACGTGCGCGTGCACGCAGACAAGCTCCTCTAGTCACCCATCGCTGTCAAGTCAATTATGACTCAAGGCAAACCTCTATGTATGGCAGAATAAGCTGCTCCATGGGAATTTACAGAGGCAGAGTCCATAGCCACTGCACTACCAGGGCTCCTTGTAACTTCCTAAGCCGTCCTCCAGTGGGTCACAGTAGCCAGCACGAGTTTTGTCAGAGGGCCTGGCATATCTGAATTACTGGACTATTTGATCCCCAGGCCGTGAGAATGTGCTGAGGGGCTGAAGACAGGGCTGAAGGAAGAGTCAGAGGGACCCCGGGTCCTCCCTTGACCCAAAAAACCCAATAAAAACTTGCTCCGGGGATCCCTCCTCCTAGTGACTCCATGTGTTACATGGTAGGCATATAGAACACTTCCATAGAATAGACTACAGAAACAGATTGTCGGGGCTTTGTTATATAGCACCGCCATGAAGGCTTGAACTGCCAACCTTTAGGTTAGTAGCTGGTCACAAAATGGCTTTAATACAAGGGGCCCTGTTGACAGGGCTGTTAGACAAAGTGGAGGAAACCCTGGGGCGAGAGGGTTTGGGAGGGAGGACCTCTCTGTTTCAGCAAGATAGGGCTGAGAAGAGGAGAAAGGACACCCCATCAGTCGTAGTGGGACTTGATGGCACATTAAAAAGACAGAGGCCCTACCACTGGGACAGAGGGCAGTGCCGTGCGTGATAGAGGGAGAGAGGAGAGAAATTGCTAATGCTTTTGTCTTACTTGGAT